TTAAAATTGGCGATTAAATCTAAGGTTCGTTAGAGCGAAATCGCTACGATTCCTAGAACAAATATCCACACAGAAACATACGTATGTCACTTCCTGTTTAGAATATGATCACAAAAGCAAACTCAGCGGCCATCTATCTTATCCATTGGGGACAACGTAATATTCGCATAGTTTTCTATCGCATTGTTTATTATCACGTGTTTAACTATAACTTTCACGATCAAAATAAATAAACATTCATTCTTTGGCGTGGTATTTACGGCGTATACGTGGCAGGCATGCATAGGGGGCCTTTTATCAATGGTCGCGTGTGAATCGCAGCCGGCAAATCTTACCTGTTTGTCCATACTCCATACAGCAACTCAACAAAAGCGAATGAAAGATTGAGTAACAGGAACAAGAACAGGTTTCTCGATGTCGCATCAGAGAATATCGCCCTGTGTAGATAAATAACGAGATTACGTTAAGAGCGTGAAGCATATGGTCCAAATTAGATCCACTCTGAGTTGAGACATGATCCGACAGGAAGACAGGTTTCTTACCTAAACCATCCGAATATCTTGGCCTTTATCCAAAACCCAGGCTTATATCCATCGTCTTTGTTGTGTAATGGCAACATATCTATCACAAATATGGCAAGAAACTCACAGAATACGTCTTATTAAAAGGTGGAAAAATTACACCAAAACCAAATATCAAGTCATGGTTTCCGTATATTCGAACGGTGAGCTGAGGGGTTTGATTTTTTCTTTTCCAATTCCGGGGGGTGCACACCACTAATACTGATATACAAAATAGCTGATAATCACGCGATTGTGTTGGCTGTATTTATTGTAATATTTATTTATTAAGTTAAGAAGCGTACATGTACTCTCTTTTTAATATTCCTACTGACTTTAGTCTTGATATTTATTAACTTTGGCTATTTAGATCTTACCCCGGGTGCAGATGAGCGCCACCAACGTCGCTGGACGCAATAAGTAGGTCAGAAGCAGGTCAGGGTGAAGTTTGTATGTTTATCTAATGCGGTACGTGTAGACGTTTTCTCCAGTTTGCTGGAGCCATCGATGGAACGAATATAACATGTAGGATGCATCGAGCATATATTGCAAAAATCGTAGCAAGGCTGCGACTCTTGCAGCCTGCAAAAACTTCGACAGCACCAGTTACTTGTACGTATTGCTCCCAACAAAATGGCGAGTCACCTGACTTTGACCCCAACCGTGTGCTCGTGTTATCTAAGACTACGCGATACGAATTCGAGAAAAGGAGATTTCCCGATCTTAATGATGATCAGCTGCAGAGACTGGTAAGTATGGTGGATGAAATATTTGAAATAACGATGTACTGTGTCTGGTGATATGTACACCCATTGTTCGATTTCATAAATAGGGGCACCAGTATCTTGTAAATGTCTTGAAGATGAATTATAATTTATCAATTTATCACCGCTGAACCTAGTTAAGTGTAGTGTACTATTGAATGCGAAAATACATCTGTATCTTTATTGAAATCTTTAAAATTGCCTAACAGTAATGGAGTGAAAATAATACAGTCACTTGAGGGATGATACGCCAAATAAATGGACCAGTACTGTTTTTATTAGTTTTTTCCTGATTTTTCATCGCTATTAACTAT